TTGGTAGATTATTTCTCTGTTGTAACTATGCTTCTTGGCAATAAATTTTATACCGTTGGAATGCCCGTTTATTTACCTTTGAAACGGTGCCCCATTTGTAAGGAACATGCATTTCTGGGATGAGCAACACAGCTGAGTATGTGGGTTGCGCCCATGAAAAATTTGCCAAATCTTATCTGCCTTCTCTGGGTTGAGGTCAGGACTGCTGGCAGGCCATTCCATCATCTCTACTCCCAAATTCTGGAGGTAGTCTCTGATAAACCGCTCTGTGGGGGCGAGCGTCTTCATCTTAGAGGATGGAGTTCGGTCCCAGACTGTGGAGAAATGGGATTGCCACTGGTTGCAGAATCTTGCGTGCTGCTCGTGCCAGAGTGACCAACACAACCACGTTGGCTGACTTGCGACAAATCCTGCTTGAGGAGTGGAATGCCATCCCACAGCAGTGTGTGAGCAGGCTGGTGACCAGCATGAGGAGGAGGAGCCAGGCTGTTGTGGCTGTGTATGTGAGGATTTATGTCTAATTCTGCTGTATTTCCCTCCGTAGTGTCCTCCTACGAGTCCCGCCCTCTGCCCTGCCTCTCTCCGAAGGCACAGCTGTGCCTCATCTCCTGTGATCATCTCCAGCTGACATAAATACTCCTGTCACTCTCATTCCAGTTGTCAGTCCGTCCGTTTACCAACCTGGTATTCCAACCCGTGAGTTTTCCGTTTGTTCACTCTGTGAGATTCCACCACTAACAATCCGTTTTTGTTTTCAACTTACCTGCCGTCCAGTGTCGAGCCTCGGGTTTTCACCTGCACGAAGAAGTCTTCCAGTTTGTTCCTCGGAGATCAACTGTGAAGTCTTGGCAATCCTGTGTCGAGCCCCGGGTATCACACAGTCGATCCAGCCTGCCTGCCTGCCAGCCGCGGACGCGGACTAGCCACTTTCCGGCTTGGATCCGAGCGGAGCGCGAGGACGCGCCTCCGTGTTGACGTGTGACTGTTTTTCTGTCGGCTTCGTCTGCCGCTCCGAAGGATTAGCCACTTTCCGGCTTGGACCCGTGCGGAGCGCGTGGAGATGCCTCCTATTGACTTTAACCATTTCCTGTTTTTCCCCTGACTGAGAGAAATAAATGATCTTGGTTTGAAATAAAACTCTGCTGTCCTGAGTCTGCATTTGGGTCCATGAACACACCACATCATACCAGAACGGACTGACCATAACTATGGACCCAGCAGCCGCAGCAGGATCTCCACCTGCAGATCTCCTGCAGGTGATCACAAACCAAGGCATTCTTCTGGGACAGCAATACCATCTGCTGCATGATATGCAGGGATCGCAGTAAGCCATCGGGTCTCAGGTGGCTGAGATCGGCAGCATGGTGCAGGGACTCGCACAGTCCCGCCCCTCCCCCCTAGATTCGATTGCGGGGGACGCGCAACTGGTCCGTGAGTCATTTGTTCCGTCTCCTGAACCTTTCCACGGAGACATGAGGGTATGTAGAGGTTTTCTGCTCCAGACGACGTTTGTGTTCAACCAACAGCCCCGCACGTATGCATCGGACAGTTCTAGAATTGCCTATCTGACCGGGTTGCTACATGGCCGTGCTCTCAACTGGGCCCAGGCCTGGTTTCTTTTGGACAATACCTGGAGGCGTTTAAGAGAGCTTTCGACCACCCTACATACTCTCAGGTCGCTGTTCAGAACCTCCTCCGCCTCCGTCAGGGCTCTGCTAGCGCCGCTGAAGATTCCATTGACTTTCGTATCCTGGCCGCAGAGGGAGGAGAGGGCGCTAAAGGGGTTTTTTCTCAGCAGCTTGTCAGAGGGATTAAAGGACAAGCTTGCTGTTCTGGAGGAGGTTAAGACACTGGAAGACCTGATCGCTCTCACCATCCGACTGGATACTTGGATGCAGGAACGTCGGAGAGAGCGTAACTACAGGCTCCCGGTTCCTGTTCGTCAGCCAGTAACCACTTCCGGTCACCGGTCCCCAGTTCCACCTCGCCGCCGCAGCCCAGGCCACCAGCACTCGCCCGCTCCGGCACCTTCTCCCGAGGATCGGGATGAACCCATGCAGTTGGGACGGTTCCATCTGTCTCAGGGAGAGAGGGAGCGACGAATCCGTTCAGGAGCCTGCCTCTACTGCGGCGAGCTGGGTCACCGTATGCCTGTCTGCCCGGTGTGACCAAAAGAGAGGGCTCGCCAGTAAGAGTGGGAATACTGGCGAGCGACTCCACCCGACTTCCCCGTCCCAAGTCCCGTCTCACACTACCAGCTAAGTTATGCCTGCCATCCGGTGCTCTACCAGTCTGGGCCCTTATTGACTCCGGAGCAGAACAGAGTTTTTTGGACTCCTCCTTGGCCTTCGCTCATGGGATTCCCTTGGAGGAGTTGGAATGCCCTCTTCAGGCGAACGCTCTGGATGGCAGTCGCTTGACCAATATCACGCACCGGACTTGCCCTATTACCCTGCTTGTGTCAGGAAACCACCAACACGAGATCTGTTTTTACATCTTCTCTACGCCCCTGACACCTCTGGTTCTGGGCCATCCTTGGCTCCTGGACCACAACCCACAGATAGACTGGGCAGGAAACAGAATCATCGGATGGAGCCCTACATGTCTTTCGAGGTGCCTCAAGTCCGCCATTCCCCGGCAGACCTCTTCTCTCCACACGCCTACTACCAGAACTGATCTCACCTCGGTCCCCTTGGAGTACGCAGATCTCAGCGAGGCATTCAACAAGGAACGAGCCCTTTCCCTGCCACCCCACCGACCCTACGATTGTGCCATAGAACTATTCCCCGGTGCCACCCTGCCCTCCAGCCGACTATACAACCTTTCCCGACCGGAACGCGAGTCGATGGAGACCTATATCACAGACTCCCTCGCTGCTGTAATTATCCGCCCGTTATCGTCCCCGGTGGGAGCGGGGTTTTTCTTCGTGGCCAAGAAGGACAAGAGTCTCCGTCCTTGCATCGACTACCGAGGGTTAAACCAGATCACCACCCGGAACAAGTACCCGCTACCGCTAATCAACTGCTTTTGAATCCCTACCCGGTGCCACAATTTTCACCAAGCTAGACCTCCGCAATGCTTACCACTTGGTTCGGATACGAGAGGGGGACGAGTGGAAGACCGCTTTCAACACTCTCCTGGGACATTTCTAGTACCTGGTCATGCCATTCGGACTTACAAATGCACCAGCCGTTTTCCAGGCTTTGGTGAACAACGTGCTCAGGGATTTTCTCAACTGGTTTGTGTTTGTCTAAATCGACGACATTCTAATTTACTCCTCAAACCTACAGGAACATTGCCACCATGTCCTCAGGTCCTTCAGCGCTTACTGGAGAACCAACTCTTCATCAAAGCCGAGAAATGTGAATTCCATGTCACCTCCATACAGTTTCTTGGTTTCATCATTGAGGAGGGTCAGATTCGCAAGGACCCGGAAAAGGTTAAAGCGGTCACCGAGTGGCCGGTCCCCTCTAACCAGAAGAAGCTCCAGCAGTTCCTAGGATTTGCAAACTTCTACCGCCGGTTCATTCGGAACTACAGTCAGACGGCGTCACCCCTAACCAGACTCACTTCCTGTAAAGTGGCTTTTTCCTGGTCCCCCGAGGCCAACCGGGCGTTTAATGCCCTCAAGGAGCGATTCACATCAGCCCCCATCCTAGTACAGCCGGATGAAAGCACATTATTAACCAAATAATTTTTAATGAAACTCCAGCAAATTTGATGCAAAATAGGACTTCTGACTGTTTCACAGTCAGATTATTTTCTCTCTTATGTCATTTTGTTTTCCAGAGCCACTGCCAATACAACAGCAATGTGTTACTAACAAAAAGGCTCTGATTGCAAGTGATGTCCCCACCAGGCACTGCCACTGAAATTCCCCCGGCGTCTCTCAATATCCATCACAAGGACTGCTCTTGTTTACATGGTGTAGCTGCTCTCACTTGACCTGGCCCTCAGGAAAAATCACCTTAATATTCATACACTGACCATATCATATATGTTCTTTTATTTCCAATATTATCACTTAAATACCCCCTTATAGGAGCTTAATTCAGTGTCTCTGGAATATTAGTAATGACTTCAGTGAATGCATCAGATGTTGTGCTATTTTTGTCCCTGCTGGTATCACTGTTCAATCCCAGTGGAACTTATTTCTTCTGATATCGGTATCTGTCTGAAATCTACTTTGGCATCACAAACAGCTATTGGCATAAGTACATAGCATAGCATAGGCAGACACTGGCGGTTAAGGCATAAAAGTAGGCTACAACCATTTGCATATGACCCAAGTCGCGTTTCAAACCACAAATAACCAAGGCATTGCAAAATTAATGAACGTATAACGCTCCATCAATATTTTAGTCATGGCTTCCGTGTGACTGAATCAAGCAGCGAACTGTCTGTTTAGTGCGCGCTCCTTGTCTCTGCGCTCACAGGCTAATGGCGTCCTTGGACTTCTGAATGTCACCATACACTTTGCATGAGTGCTTTTTATTGTGCTGTTCAAAGTGGCTCACTTCCCCGGGACACCATTGAACATCAGTAAAACAGATTAAATAGTGTTACAATATTAACACAAATAATGGGAAGTTAAAACAAAGGTAATCTCAGCACCATGCTGTCCCTGCACAGCACAGTGTAAACAGACAATAACAAAAACGCTCGTGAGCCTGGGCCACCATGTGATGTAATGAGAGTCTGGGGCGACAGAGTGAAGCGTGTCTGATTGTGGATCCGCTGACATGAAAAACGTTTTAAAAGTCCTGATCAAAGCCAGACAACATGCACCGTCCAACTGGAGCACCTAGATGCTTAAACCCCCACCATGGAGAGCAGTGTGCGTCTGCCTGCCGCAGCCTGCTGCGAGAAAAATAACTTGTTTTTGGTGATGTGCGCTGTGGATGTAGTGATGGATGGTCGAAGGTGACAAAGAGGGAATGTTGGTGATGGTGCATGAACCAGCGGATCGTGACGGGACGGGACAATTGGGGGATACTCACGCTGCTGTTCTCTCCTGTCCAGTGGACCATCGCCTGGTTGTGGGTAGCATCCCCTTTGAGTACGAACGAGCTGCTGAGCAGGGTCATTTGTTTTTCCCGGGACAGCGCTCTCCTGAAGCGGGGTGAGCTCTCGGCGCCGACGGCTTCCTCGTCACCGTCCGTCGGTAAGCCCGGCGAGGTTCCTCCGTCTCCTCCCCCCATGTCAAACGTACGGTCCTCTCCGCCGCGCCGGTTTAAAACCCCGCTGTCACAGCGCACGGGTCCCGGCACGGCCATCCAGGCCGAGGTGATCAACAGAAAGACGCAGAGGTGCGCAGCGGCGGAGACCGGTTCTTCAGTGTGCAGTAATGCCATGTTTTGCGCCGTAGTAGCGCTGAATATCGCGGAGACTGAAGGAGAGACTGCTGATGCTTGTGGAAGATAGGTGTATACTGTAAGCCGAGGGAGAGAAAGGGAGTGAGGAGGTATGGAAGGAGGGAGGGGAACTAGAGCGGAGGCAGACAGTGGGAACAACGTGGACGCGTCTCAGTGCCAAGCGGGATCAACAGAACGGCGCAGTGGTGCCATCTGCTGTCCTACAACTGCAGCACTTTGCGACTATCCACCTTCGTGAAGGGTCCCATAAAAGTAATTCACATTTTAAACATGACATAATTATGACTTAGCCTATTTTAAATCACTTTAAATCACACGTTCAAGTGCCTGCAACTGATTATTGTTCAATCACATTATACTACACAGTTGTTCCGGTGAACTGTATTGCTCTCTAACGTGTTCATCAGCATACTCATTGTGGCAATCCTTGTATGCAAGAAGCAACTATATCTCAACCTTTACAACATCAATATTGAATCAGTTTCAGTGATCTAACAGTTGGTGTAAATGTAAAGCAAATGTATTTTATGTATCTATCTATCTTTGAGTCCCTTGCTTAAATATTTGTCCTCCATCCATCATGTTAGAGTAATAACTCCTGGCATTTCTGCTAACTTGGAAGGCCGTATTTCCTAGCATGACAGATTCTGTGACCTGTAACAGTGCAACGATTCTGCCTTCAGGTAACGTAAAGTGCACCATGCATGCTGAAGAATCTGTTATTTATTTAAATGATATTTGCTGAATGAAAGCAGCTGCAGCACATCCCTGAAAGACGAGGGTTAACAAATGTCACAGAGAAAAAGAAATGTGTTGAAAACCGTACTCCCTTTCAGCAGTAGCCCATTCCATCTGTGTTAAATCAACCCAAACTGGGAACATTTAACCCAGTAATCTTTCATTTGTGTGGCTGTTGGGTGCCAGTTTGAATCCCAAACGGCATTAGGCTATAGGAAATACGATCGAAAGTTAAATCCAGGAGAGCCCATGAGTGAAGTGTAATTTGTTGAAGCTTTTAGTTCACATGTATTACTATAACTACATTTAAGCAGAGGAAACAATGACCTGAGACTAAGACATCACTACTGGATTCTAAGGATAGTTTGTAAATTCTATTGGCCACCAATCAATCAGCTTAGAGTTGGCCCGGTTTCCTCCCTGGGTTTGTTTTTCGGTCAGCTTTCTAATATATTCCATCTTTTTTTTCATTTGATCTTTGCTCCCAATTTTAAAGATAAAAACTATCAGATGACTTAAAGCAGTTGGGAACATTCCTCAAAAAGGCACTGCCGAAGAGTATTGGCATGATATCGGTCCACTCATCCTCTACACTGCCTCCCTGCCTGTGTGTTGTTGGCCCGTTGACCAAGAGGTCATAGTGTAGCTCCCACTAAGTAATAGCTCTCCTCTGAGTCCGTCCTCCTATCCAATTATAGCTAGAGGCTTGATTAATCCATGAGTCTGTGGGTCAGGATTGGTAGGGGTCCAATGTCTTTTCAGCTCAAACAACAGAGATTTCATTTTTCTTCACGTTGACATCAGATTCAGAATGAGAAATGGTTTATTGCCAAGTATGTTTGCACACACAAGGGTTTTTACTTGGCGGTTGGTGCATTATAATGAACACAGTACAATAGTATGAAGACATTAAACAGCAGCCACAAAATCCCAATGATCATTTCTCTTTTCTAACATAAGTATTATATAAGTACAGTAAGGAAACATAAGAAGGCAAAATTCCCATGCCAAGTTCTTGTCAACCTTTACAGAAGAGCAATAGAAAGCATCCTCACTGGAAACATTACAAACATGAGATGTACACAACACAGAACAGGAGGGCTCTGCAGCCGGTGATTAAAACCGCCCAGAACATCACTGGTACCCATCTACTGAGCATCAGTGATATTGATGACAAGAGGAGCCTGCAAAGATCCCACAGGATACTAAAAGACTAAACCCACCCATCCACAACCTGTTCACCCTGCTGCTGTCTGGAAAGAGATACTGAAGTATCAGCTGCTGAACCACCAGACTTCAGATCAGCTTCTTTCCTCAGGCTATGAGACTCCACCCTCCATATATAATACCGTTTGTTTTTTGTGTGTTTTTATGTGTAGCAAAATGGGACTACAATCTGCATTTGTTGTGCAACTTTGTTGTACAATGAGATTAAATAACCTTGTAACCTTGTTGACAGGATTAACCTGCATCACCAATAAATACCAAGGATTGCTTGTAAGACTGCAGGGCCTTTGACTATGGTGACATTTTGTAACAATACTGTACGTCTTACAAGCAGAGTAGTTGCCATTTCTTCCATTTATATTCAATCCTATTTCTTAGTTTATATTTAGCAATTTCATGTCTGGTTGTGTGTGTTCATTAATAGCTTTTGAGTGCAATCCCTGCAGGTCAGCGCACAAAGGAGAGGTGCTGCTGCATGGTGGTGTGGCTGACTGAAACAGCATACAGTCTTTCATACACAGCTTGCATCATATGTTATCCTGCTTCTTTATTCATCACAGCATTACAGATGCTGTGATTTGGGAAAGGTGAGATAATGACTGGAATGATTAAAAAAATAATTTATTTAAAAACAGCAGCAGCAGCACGCACTGCATGATGGTTGTACTATTCATGCAATTAATAAATCTTTCTATAATTTGATTAATATTGACTGAAATAAAAAGGGCTTGAAGGTACCTCCTGTTTCTGCACCATCTTAAGGTCGTTTCCCATATCACTTACTGTTTAACAACCTGGTCCCAGGCTAGCACCACTACTCTGAAACCGGTTACAGCTGCTAACACCAACAGCATCACTGCAGATGCATAGCTCCCACCCTCCGGTTCCCCCTTCAGGTAAACACTGTGAGCTCTGTCACCACATATCATTTTGTGTTGTGATAAGTTAGCGTTGTGTTTAAGGCACACTTGCACTGGCCCCAAGTGGACAACAAAATCAATCACTGCAGTGCAAATAGAAAACTGAAAGCTAGTCATGTAATCCATTGTAACCGACAGGAAGTGAACCTGACCACAGCTGTGGTACTCATGAAGGAGCAAAGTATCACTTCTTAAAGCATAAAACCTAAAGAGGATGAGTGTTTGATACCCAAAACATCAACAAACAACATAAACAGTTACATCCATGTTAAATGAACCAGTGACACCGCGTTGCACCCGGGGTGATGCCGGGTGAATTGAATAAATGAAGGCTATCATTGTACGGCAGCCTGGGACTGAAAAGGGTTTCAGAGCAACAACCAGTTCTATAGGTCACGTGGTGACAACTGACCAAATGGCATCTGTTGATGAGGACTATCAGATCTGAAAAGGTCGGTAAGCAGACCTTCAGCTTGCCCAAACAAAAACATACCATCATGTTCATTTTGATGATGTTTAATTATTAGTTATGCTGCAAACAGATGCTGCAGAAAAATCGTTCAGGATACAGTAGAAAGAAGTTTTAAACATAATCTCTAGTAGACAGGGTTAGGCATTATTATTGCAGTACAACCTCTTCTTAAAGACAGAATTCTGCTCTGGATCAGTGTTGAAAAGGTGATCTCTGTTCATTATTTACGTGTCAGTGTCCTGTCGGTGCTGCGGGTTGGGAATAAATGGAGAGAGCGATGTTGTTGGCTCAACTGGTCTCAGATCAGTGCACTCAGGTGTCCCGAGTAGCAGGACAGGAGCAGAGTCAGTTTGAATATTTGATGGATGGGGGCAGAAGGTGCATCAGCGTTACAGAAAAGTGAGAGGAAGAGGACAGAACACAAGAACACACTCTCACGCTATGTTGCACCCTTCTCTAAGTCTTTGAGTTTATATTTCTATTTCTCTCTATTTCCCAGCAGGCAAAGTCAAAGAACCACAGCTGGGTAAGTAATGTGAGACGCAAGGAAGGGGCATGGCATCAAGGATGATGCTTTCAATTATTTTTATTTATTTAGTCATTTTTAGCAAAATAATTCAACAGACAGCACTTTACATCATGCATTTGCCTGGAAAATGTTGAATCATTCAATATTAATGTCTCAAAAAGAAAACTGTACCTACAGTATATGCCTACAGAATTTACAGATCCGAACACAGCCTGATTGTCTAGTTGATCTGGCAAACTTCAAATTAACTTGTGATCTTGAGAACAGGTCTATTTTCTGCCCTAAATCTAGAGCTTTCATGCATAAGTCAGGGAGGCCGGGTGATGGCAGAGTGTGCACCCTCCATGACCTCTGCTACCAGCATATTGACTATAATTGCACCTTCTAAACTGGAGCTTGCATTTAAATATTTCATACCACAGTGGAAATGTGTGTGTGTGTGCGTGCGTGCGTGTGTGTGTGTGTGTGTTTTGTCTAATATGTCCCCATGTTCTGTGTGGAGCTCCATAACTCTGATTTACTGTACATGGTAAGAATCTGAAAAAGGTACATAATGTGTGCAGTGGATATGACTTTACTTCAGGTAATGCCATATATGGAAGGTTGTTATGTGATGGTTCATTATTTAGTGTATTACAGTCTACAGTGTGAAATAATAGTAATGAGAGTGAAACAATTAGAGTCGCTCCGGCATTCTCTAATTGGGGTAATTTGTAGGAAATGATATTGAACAATTGAACAACTGCAGATCATCGGGGGACGTAAGAGCAGTTTGGTAGATCGTACAGAACCTTTGGTACAAAAGAACTCAATGATTGAAAGAAATCAGTTAATCAGCTGATCAATCAATAAATCAATAAACATCAAGGGGACCAATTCTATCGCAACTATCACCAATAAAGAGGCCAGAGACAGCTGTTGATAGTTAAAGTATTTTGCAGTCTGTAAAACTAATGCACATTAATCTTCATAATATCCAATTATCTGGAAAATTTCACGCTCAGCAGCATGCTAACAAGCTGGACTTCCACGGTCCAAGGATTGCCTCCATAAGCTGTCTCTACGCTCAGATGATGCAAGACGTGGTTCTTTCATCCATGCTTCTGATCTGCAATCACACAAACAAGACGATACTACCTGCACTGCTCAATGAGGGCCAGCAAGTATTTAGTTTGGTAAGCGGTTATGCTGTGGAGTTGCACTCTTCATTTTGG